TAAGACAAAAAAATAGGTCTCATCACCATATCTATATGATATCAATATATTACTCAGCACTAAGTCAATGATGTTGCAATAAAACATTGCCCCCTAGAACAGTCGGTCTGCCGATTGTAAAACTGTCACCAGTCAAGTCTTTGTCATTTCTCAAGCCTTTCCCACTCCTGTGAAAATTGATGAATTAGAAATAAACCAGCATGAGCACCACTTCCTTTGCCGTAAGCCATACAATAAAGGAGGTGTGAATTTGAGAGTGTAACTCAAGGCCATTTCAGCACATGGCTGTGCAAAAAAACACCTCACCTATGACCTTCACCTCACCGGACTGTAACTGAAGCCAGGGTGCACCCTGCCAACAGCCGGGCAGACACATAGAAGGAGAGGCTTTCAGGACAAACACTGACTCAGGTCCCCTCTCATCTCTCTGCATTAGTTAGCACTAATTGATGTTACTGTAATAAACAACAATTTGATAAAAAATGAACAAATCTGTAAAATTCAGAAGGTTATACAACAAATCAAACAGAAAGGTATGACACCGCATCCAACTCTTTCCATTAAGCAGCCTTAAAATCCTTTTTTTCTGAGATAAATATGACCTTGTTGCGCATGGTGCAATATGTCTCCATTCTTTTACAAAAACAAATAAAATAAAAATGATTACCATCACACAATAATAAATAATACCACGTGCAAGTAAAAATAAATGATATCTTGTATTGTGTTTATAAAGACATTCTGATAAATGAATGAGATGAGGACAGCTGATACAAGGGGCAGCCAGTGAATGACTACGATCATATAACGAAATGTAATAACTTCCAGTTGAAAGTGTTGATGTCAGCACTAAGAAGTGTGATATGTTTTATTCACACTGAATATATATTTCAGCACATTTTTCTTCCATGTTCACTTCAGGCCACAGGAATATTATCTGGGTCTTGTAACCTCAAACTTTTCTCCTTCTTAATATTCGTTGCATGTGCATGTTTGTGAGCTACGGACCGTATTGCAGCTCGCTCTGGGTAAGGGAATTAGAAAAACTGCTTTTTAAAAGTGTAAATGTTGGATTAAAGCTTCAAGCAATGCTTAGATAAGAAGATTGCTACAGAAAAGGGCATCATATCTAAAAATGATAACAATTTGCTTGTTGATAATGATGATAAAGGGATGGAAATGTACAAAAGAAGATGTTTAAACTATTTAAATACAAGGGAAGGTTTATTCCTTTAACAAGAATACAAATATTCACATTTCCAAATGTTTTTTTTGCACATAACCTTTTTATCAATCTCTATTACAGCAAAAAAAAATGTAATTTGGAGTCAGTTTGTTTTACAAAGCACAAGCTTTTCTATGGTAAGCGTTTTTGTTCGTCAATGTCCATTTGTGTCTTTGTAAGAACACAGAGGTTTGTATTTGTCTGTGTGCATGTCTCACGCGTATCCAACTGTATTTGAGTGTGTTAATGGCGATGGGCATCATTTTAAGTGTGTGCACGCTTTTGTTGTCAGCCTGATAAAGTCAGGAATTGTGTCTCTATAATTGTGTGTATTGTGTGTTTCTGATGAGTCACCACAGATACAGCAGCCAGCAGCAGAAGAGCAACGTTAGCAGATAACAGCATTTCTGTTCCAGAGGCCTGCGGCTCTGCCAACAAGCCTTCTTCTCGCTGGCCTCATCCTCTCCCAGACTGGCTTCGTTCACATCTGCACGCCACACATCACCTCTCATTACGCCACAGCGAGATTCACAAACCTCAGCAACTGAAAAACAAATAATACCTGCTCAGGCTTACCTGATGCTGGCGAGGGCTAAAGTTGTTAGTATTTACAGTAGTAGCAAGGCTTAATGTTGATTCCCCTTGATCTAACAACAAATCCTTTCTCCAGTCGAGATAAACCATAAGGTTTAATGTCTAGAAGGATTCTCACAGTATTACATCACGGTGCAGTGAGATAACCACCTCAAAGAAATATTATTCTTATAATAAACAATTTCAAACATTTAAACATCAGCTGTGAGCTTTTTAAAATAATTCCTAGGATAATTAACATACTGTAGGTGCACACCCACGCAATCAGACACTAAAACACAGACACTACACACATACTGTTTCCAATACGCATAGATAAGCGAATATACATGGTATGAGAACCGTACATTTGGATACAGCTATTCGCTATACCATTCTAACTCTATGTAGAGTAGATTTTAAAGCTCCATCAAAATCCACACAGACCTATGTTCTTATGATGTCATTCATATATGGCAATCTGTGTTTAACACAAAGTGGCTGATAAGTTATCTTCCTCTCCCAGACACCATCCATCATGAGGAGACTGAAATCTGTTCTTCAATTGAAGCTGGTTGATCATGGCAGATCTTGAGAAAAGCTGCCTGACGCTGAAAGCAGAAGCTGGAGTTAAGTTTCCTGTCCTGCTAAGTCTGCAGTGCAGTTTGGATACAGCTTGTTTCACCTTTTAAGAGTGACTACAGTACACCCGACTCACGACTGTATGGGAAGAAATACCGATCTGGCAGCCAGGAAAACCTTCAGGGCATCTCAATAATTCACACAGCACTTCTTAAACACAGACTCTCTCTCAGCACCCCCACCCACCATGACCACGAACCAACAAACACACACTTAAAAACACTTTTCCATGTTGTCCCAGAAAATACATCCATTGTAGTGTCAGCAGAAGGAAGCAAGACATGGCTTTACAACCAAAAGCAGGCTGAGTACACTGCCTCCAGAAAGCCTCACAGACAGGATGGGAAGTGAAATGTGTGAAGTTACCACAGTAACAGTGCCCCTACTTTGATTTAAAAATGATTCATTTAAATTCCTCAATACAGATTTCTGTGATGATGCTGATATTTTATTTACACTACAATATGTTTGTCTCCCAAACATTGCCCAGTAAGCTTCAGATATTTTTGCCAATGTTATGTGGACATGATGCAAGACTATGGCTCAAGCTCAACAGAAACATTAAACCATAATCTGTTTGGCTAAGATTACTTTCACCAGCCAGCCTTGCTCTTCAATTTGAGATCTTTTCATGTATTATTTAGATCCCGACCATGACTTAGACATTTCAAAATGTTGGAGGAACATTTATCCATTACATTTTTTTAATGCAGTTGGTTGTTCGAAGCCACTACTCAAGGTCTGCATAAGGACAGAGATAATGATTACAAGGCTTTATATGTGTACATGTATATGTATAACATACAACATGTGCAGGTTAGTGAAGAGCATATTGCTCCCTTTGGCCATAATCATACCAGAGTGTATTTGTCCAAAAGGTTTTTGAAACTGTTTCTAATCAAGGTCACAAGGTCAGCTTTCACTGAAGGTAAAACGTAAAACGTAAAATTCATGGGCCATGAGGATTCATCCGAGGTGAAAAGGCAGCCTGGGTTAACTGTTTGTTGAATTAAGGTTAATCAAATATTTACTTTGCCAGCCAGAGAGGCTATTACAGAACAACTTCGCCCTGGAAGACTGAATGCTGCTAGCATCTAGCTGTCTTTTGTTTATTGTTTTGAACTGTTGGCACAGCACACCATTATACAACCTGTGTATTAAATACATGTTGTCTCTTGCTGCTGTGTTAGCTGTGACAGGCCTTGACTGCAGACTCCTCTGGGAAATCAGCCCACTTCCTGTTGTAACACAGCCACTGGAGGTGGAGGAATTAAGAAGAGTGTGTGTGTGTGTGTGTGTGTGTGTGTGTGTGTGTGTGTGTGTGTGTGTGTGTGTGTGTGTGTGTGTGTGTGTGTGTGTGTGGAAAAAGAGGATATAGAGATGCTGCTCTACCGTTATTTAGTCAAGCTGTATTTTCCTGTAGCTTCCTCTGTGAGAAATGGGTCAGAGCAGCACGGCACCTGCTGCTGGCTGTTGATGTGGAAGATCAATACTCTTCACATATTTCTACTTTAGCTGCTGTGTGCATAGAGTGAAAGAAGATTCAACTTGGCAAGGTTTTGTTATATGTTAATTATTAACATATTTGAGGCTGTCACATTCAGCTTCAAGTGCATGGACCAATAAGTTTAAGCATGTTTAATCTAAAAGCAAAAAAGATAAAACTCAAGATGAGAGATTTTGTATCAGCCTTTTATCTATTGCATGATGCTAATTGTATTTGTATAAAACAAACCTGCTTATGTAACACAAGAAACCAATTAACTACATTTGCATAATTCAAACAGTAACAGCTGGGTGATATGTTATATCCAATTTTATAAATGGGTCTAGTGAGTTCAAAAAGTATAAACTTGGGAATTCTGAGTTGTATAGCTAAATGAAATAACTTGTAATTGCTTCAGACCGTTATGTTCCAATTATTGATAATTGCTCTTCATTTAGAAATATCTAACATCTTATACAAGCAAGCAATTCTTAGGGTTTGAATCTGAAATAGAGTGAAGCACTTCAAACGTAACCCTTTTCTTTTCATAAGCAATTGAACCCCTGCTGTGTGGGTGTTTTGCTCAACTCAAATGAATGGAATATAATTTAAAGACAGGTGACCAAAGTGGATATTGGGCCCCAGCCATGGCAGCCTCTATCTTACTTTGTTCACCATCTTTTTAACTACAAATGAAGCTGCTTTTTTAAAGCCAGCAGTAGCAGGCCCCCCACACCAGACTGAAGCAGAGTGAAAGAAGATCACAGCAGCAGAAAAATGGCAAAACCCCAAGACTCTACTGTAGCAGCTCCTGCTGAGCTGCTCCACTGTCACTTCCTCTCCTCTGGCAGCCTTAAAGGCACATTTCACTTTGAATTGAAAGAGGAAATCAATTGAAGTCACTAATCTCTATGCTAGTCACTTTGCACCTTTACATCTGCAACTGAGAAGGACTCTTTCATACCAGGATCCGGCTCAGAGAAGTATGTGCCACCTCTGACAAAACCGGAGCCAATCCGTAACATGTAACAAACATAAACCCCCATCTCCTATTTTTTTCATAATTGCACATACCTGATCTGGTTACATGGTCCGTTTGTTAAACTCAGGCTTATCCTGTGGAGTTTGACCGTGTAAAGCCAGCAGCATCCTTATCGCAGCAGGAGGGGAGGAGAGAAGAGAAGCGCTATGCATGGGACTGCGGCGGAGGAACTTCTCCAAGGATGAGTCGGAGTCCTGAGCGCACAACGCCGCTAGGATATCCTAACAATCCCGCGGTGGGACCAGCAGACTAAAGGTCAGAGGGACGACTGCAGACACAGCAGAGAACAGCAGACACCGAGACACGGAGCATGGCCACGGTACGCCACCGGAGAAATAAACACTTAAGGACGAGGACAACACTTCAGGATAAGCGCTTTTTACGCGCCTGTAACCTGTAATACGCATTAACCTTCACACACAGTAGCGGTCCTTTCGGGACTCCGAGAGGGCAAAAAACCATCAGGTAGCTTTGAATCGCTGAAATTCAAACGCACACATCCAACAAGTGAGAGGCGAGGAGACGATATGACGGAGTCCGCTGTTGGGCGGACTGGGAGGAGGCGGTGGGAGGAGAGGAGCCGCCCCACATCACACTACCTCCCTGGCAATGGACATGATATGGTACAGGATACTAAACAAATGTGTGGAAACATAAGGTTATTAATATTATCTTAAAATGGCAACAATGTTTTAGAAAGGTCTCACGTTTGGCACTTGAAGTTCCACTTAATCTATATAACCATACTATACCAGACCAGAAGAACAACATGTACACAATATGACCTTTGAGTATTGTTGATTTATTAACACGACTTAATACTATATTTGATAAATATATAATATATAATAACTAACTGAATATGAGCACACATAGGGGCATAGTAATAAAAAATGATAGCAATGGCAGAGAATGTTTTTAACAAGGTGTTTAAAATTAATAAAGGGTGAGTATACATGTTCCTAAAAGGATAATAACCTGAATATTATAAATGATGGTGTTCAGGATGTTCCCGTTAGAAAAGGATGCTGGGTAATTTGATTATGCCTTGCACACAGTAAAAAAAAAATGCTACAGTAAACCCCCCCAAATACAGACCACTGGGCTACAGTAATTGATTTGCCCTCAATCACTGGTCCCTTAATCTACTTACTGTTGCAACCAAGTCAAGGCCAATATCGACAGAGAGGAAAGGCCTGGCGGGCCAGCAGGTCTGTGCTGCACCACAACACTGAGACACTGATAGACTCATAATACTGAAACCAGGGTCCAACTGGAAAGATAAGGTTGTAGGAAGTCAGGGAATTTGGTTTGGGGCTCAAACAACACTTCAAAATGAAGTATGTATAAGGCTTCAACAGTCAGCTCAGAGAGGCAATACACGGCACATTGAAAAGAGTTATTCTTTTGGTGTTGGTGAAATTTTAGCAAAAGTATAGTTGATTTTACTCTTAAAAGACTCAAATCTCTTTTATTAAACTGAAATGACAAATATCCGAGTGTGGAAACGATGTGTCATCAAAACAGACACGGTAGTGGTATTGCAGTAACATTAACTCTGAATGTTTTACACCAGCACTGTAAACCCGAACAGTACTATAACTCGTAAGTATTGGTATTGAAATCATAGCCCACGATCACTTTAAATGAACAATGAAGGAATACGTTATTTGAATGACTATTGCTGTTTAATTTCATGTGGATCATGTGTGAACACGTTGTGTGAATTGGGTGCACAATCACACAACATGAACATAGGGGCTGCATACAGCGCTACGTTACCATGACAACACACACCCCATCCCTTTAACATGTCAACACAAAACAAACCCCGGTTCAATGACAACACACCCCGGTTCCATGACAACACACAACATACCTGTTGCGATAACAGCACACAACCCCCCTTGTTACCATAACTATACCCCCTGCTACCATGACGACACACCCAATTACTATGACAACAAACCCTGTTACCATGAAAACACACAGCACCGCCTTACCATGACAACACAATCCATTATACCATCACAAAACACAAAGCCATGTAACCATTCCAACACACCCGTTACCATGACAACACACAGCAATCACTGTTACCATGACATCAAACAGCACACCCCGTTACAGTGACAACACACCCCTTTACCATGACAACACAGCGTCACGTTACGATGAAAACACACAGCGCCATGTTAACACAACACACCCGTTACCATGACAACACACAGAACATCCACTTCCCATGACAACACACAAAGCTCCATTACCATGAGAACACACCCTGTAACCATGGCAATGCACAGTGGTGTGTTGCCCTGAAAAAACACCCCGTTACCATTACAACCCACAACCACACCTGTAATGAACTGCATGTAACACCATGAAGAATCACTGCCAAGCGATTTTATCACTAGCTGCCTAACAGACAGTCGAGGATTGGGTTGATGAGGAATAGTGGCCCATGTTATCTTCAAAATAAATCATGTGTACAAAGGTTAATCGACTGGATACAAAAGTATAATAGGTGAACAGAACACACTTACCTGTTCTCCACTTCAAAACCTAATCTTCCTGCCATAGAGCAAGGCACTCGCCCCCAGTTGTTTCTCTTCAGTAGACTCACGTGGTCCAGACCAGCTCATGTGAAGCAGAATATAACTTTCTTTTTATCTCAGGAAAGAAAGGTAAAAATCATTTGTTTAAGATGCAGGGAGACTTGAACAACCCCAACAAATATAAAAACATGACAAGATGTGATGTTACAGTGGGGGGATGTTACTATTTATTGCCTAGGAGCAATTATGAATAAGCGAAGTTCCTATGATTTATTAAAAAAACAAAACCAAAGTGACCCACAACCACTAAAATTAAACAGATGAAACTAACGATGCCCGTCCCATAAAACATGATTGATTTCAAGGATTTCATTTTCACACTTTCAAGGAATCTTATCTGCAAACTAAATTAATGTTTAGCTTTCTTCAGTAAAAAAAAACCTTATTAATGCAGCTTACTTGTGGAAGAGCGGGAGAACATCCACAGAGCAGAGCAGGCAGAAGCAGAGGTATTGGCAGTATTTTGGGGGTGTATATGATTTAAATTTGTGGTATTGACTCTGTGGGAGGTGCAGAAAACTGTCCATGTGACACTAGATCTGGGCTTCAAATTCCGGGGTCAGTCAGCAATGACCTTCCCTCTTTGAATCCACGACCAAAGTCCTACAGTATTACATTTTAGAGCAACTGGAAGCAGGTTAGGCACGAGTTTGTGGATCACAGATTTAAAGTTCAAAAAGTCAGTGTCAAAATAACACTGGTTTAAGTAAAAGTAGTACAATTTGGGGTTTGAATTTGTGGTTAAACATGGAGCAAGAACATGTCGGGAAGCAGGGTTATAGTTGGTGATGAGTATTAATGAGACTGACTTTGAACAATTTATCCTACAGTAATAAGAGCCTCAGCTAATGAGAAGCAAAAGTTCGATTGGTCTGCCAGACAATCCATTACAAAGATGAGCTCGATCCAGTGGTTTGACTCTCACAGTTGAGTTAAATATGGAGAGGAAACAGGACACACCGCTCAATAGGAGAAAGTGTGATACTCTTTTCTTTGCAGGATGAAATATTTAACAAATATGTGTTTTTAAATTAAACAGGAACTGGATGGTTAGGATTAGCAGTCGTAGCTTTGGTTGATCCCATCTACTTCATTAACTTTAAATCAAGAGTGCCACCCACTGTTTGATGGACAGGTGGGTTCTGGGAAATTCACCTTGCAATGTGTTCTGGCACTGAATATGTAAAATCTAATGAAGCAGTGAATCTGGTATGGTATGCATTATGATATATCTAATGCACATACAAGTCATTTCCCACAAACACTGGCCTTCATAGGGACAGCGGTTTCAGGGTGTGTAAAGAGTGAGCAGTATCGCTATGGCAACCTGGGGAGAAAGAGGTCACTGTGTGTGTGACAAAAAAGCTAATGCTATTTCCTGTGCTGGGAGGCAGCTCTGACTTGATCCTTATCTGAATGTGCCCATCCCTGATATTCTAGTATACTGCGCCTCTCTGTCCATGTCCACACTAATGAGAATAGAGATCAGTTTCATGTCAAATTTTCCAATCAAACTTCTTAAAAGGTGAATTTTGCATGTCCATATATTTAGTATAAAACTAACATTAATGTGATGAATGAATAAACAGTTTGATGTTATGTCGATCCCCCGTCATACTCCAGCTGGAGGAGATCCGCCCAGAAATGCTGAAGGCTCTGGGTGTTGAGCGACTGTCATGGTTGAAACTTCTCATCAACGTTGCGTGGAAGTCGGAAACAGTACCGAAGGAGTGGCAGACCGGGGTGGTGGTTCCCCTTTTTAAAAAGGGGGATCAGAGGGTGTGTGCCAATTACAGAGGCATCACACTACTCAGCCTCCCCGGGAAAGTTTACTCTAAGGTACTCGAAAGGAGGGTCAGGCCGATTGTCGAACCTCAGATTGAGGAGGAACAATGCGGATTCCGTCCTGGTCGTGGAACGACGGATCAGCTTTTTACTCTCGCAAGGATCCTGGAGGGGGCCTGGGAGTACGCTTATCCAGTCTACATGTGTTTTGTAGACTTGGAGGAGGCGTATGACCGGGTTCCCAGGGAGTCACTGTGGGAGGTGCTGCGGGAGTATGGGGTGAGGGGGTCTCTACTCAGGGCCATCCAATCTCTGTACTCCCAAAGCGAGAGCTGTGTCCGGGTCCTCGGCAGTAAGTCGGACCCATTTCCGGTGAGGGTTGGCCTCCGCCAGGGCTGCGCTTTGTCACCAATCATGTTTGTAATATACATGGATCGGATTTCGAGGCGTAGTCGTGGGGGAGGGGGTCTGCAGTTCGGTGGACTAAGGATTGCACCACTGCTTTTTGCAGATGATGTGGTTCTGATGGCTTCATCGGTCTGCGACCTTCAGCACTCACTGGATCGGTTCGCAACCGAGTGTGAAGCGGCTGGGATGAGGATCAGCACCTCCAAATCTGAGGCCATGGTTCTCAGCAGGAAACCGATGGACTGTCCACTCCAAGTAGGGAATGAGTCCTTACCCCAAGTGAAGGAGTTCAAGTATCTCGGGGTCTTGTTCTCGAGTGAGGGAACAATGGAGTGTGAGATGGGTCGGAGAATCGGAGCAGCGGGAGCGGTACTGCAGTCGCTTTACCGCACGGTTGTAACGAAAAGGGAGCTGAGCCAGAAGGCAAAGCTCTCTGTCTACCGCGCCATTTTCGTTCCTACCCTCACCTATGGTCATGAAGGATGGGTCATAACCGAAAGAACGAGATCGCGGGTAAAAGCGGCCGAGATGGGTTTTCTCTGCAGGGTGGCTGGTATCTCCCATAGGGATAAGGTGAGAAGTTCGGTCATCCGGGAGGGACTCGGAGTTGAACCGCTCCTCCTTCGCGTCAAAAGGAGCCAGTTGAGGTGGTTCGGGAACCTAGTTAGGATGCCACCT